TTTCCTCATTCAGTTACAAAGAAATTACCCAATGCAATGTTCTTTTCAGCTGTGCCGTAATTCACCGATAAAAATACGAAATATAGAAGGTGAAGCTAGAGACGACGGAGACACTGAATTGACTTTTAAAGCTAATATAACGTTCCTTGCTTTTTAACTGGATAGTAAACATTAACAAATACCACTTTATCGATCTTCGGCCGCGGAGAGGAAAATCTGACATCTATCAAAACCCTTTTGAAATAGAGCATCGTTAAATTTTATAACGCAAAGAGAAATGTGCTCGTTGATTTCCACCTAAGTCATTGTTCCTCAATTGCGCTATGCTAACTGCCTTGTGCAATATTTTTAAAGGACGAAATTATTAACCGTAAGAACTAGCACAAATAACTTGATAAAGTAATGCATATGGTACAATGTAAATCATAGCTTACAGCACCGAACCCAGACTCGTAAGTCGCGTTGTACTCGGATGATCAAAGTGGAATCGCTCGTGAGGTAAAGCACCAAACTTTTGTTGAATTCTTTTGTTTCCATTTCTCAAGTATTACTGCAATATATGTGCTAAAAATTGCTATTCAACCTATCAAAACACTCAAAATTAGTTTATGTCATTTATTTCTACGTTTAATTATTGAAATGAACACAATTTCCAATTATATACATTTCCTATATTCGTGACTGTAATCATGAATTTGGATGAGAATTTGTACATCGACCTGTCTAAAACGCGTTGGTGCCAAGGATCAATAAATCGAACAAACAAACAAAAATGACATTTAAAAAGCTGGTAGAATTTTAGGTAAACCCTGTAGCCTTGGTAACCTCGCTGAGAGACAAAAATTCTTCAAAAAACGCACCGGCGGAGAATAGATTATATTGATTCTACTCAAATTGGGACGGAATGACTATTCCTTTCAGAAATTAGTATTATTACATGTAAAATGGCTCAGTGTTTATATAGTGTCTATATATTTATTTTGTACAAGTATGGAAATTCATTCTTCGTTTGACGTTTCGAACGAAGTAGCTTTTTCACAATTCAGTATCATGTTGGTGAGCGTTCCCATTTTTTTTGTTGCAGAATTGTAGAATTTAAATAGCTTGCCGAGCCGGAAAGGAGCGGGTTGTAGTTTCCAACCAGCAAAAGCACATTGCATCAAATTAAGTAATACTTCAGTTTACTTATCATGCCGGCTCCTGACCGCACGCATTGATTACAGGTTCCCGAACTTTCGCTAAGTACCATTGATAACTTCAGCCGTAGACCTTTCTGCCGTTCAGAACAACCAAGCGTTGACATGACTCGTTGACGCGTAGACCATTTAATTTGGAAAGTAAAAGAAATAAAACTTGGCAAGCATACAGGGACAAATATTTGGGAAAGTTTGCGTTTAATTTCATACTGTAAGCTTGATATGTCTCTGAAGACAAAACCGATCGCTTTGTAAGGTGTCGGCGCAACAGAACTTGACTAACATTTTTTTTCAGAAAAAAAAGGCCTTTCATCAGCATTGCTGATATTAAATTAATTTCCATAGCAAGCCTACGAATCTAGATCGATAAACGTCACGAACGGCCTCGAAACAATCCATTTATCCACTTTTTCTTTCGCATAGAATTGGGGAACAGAATTAAGAGGCGTAAATCTGTCTTTTTTTTTCTAATAAAGGAAGTATTTTCAAAGAAAAAAATAACGGGCGTAACTATGACAACTATGCAGCATGCCAACACTTCCGTCAAGAAATTTATCTCTCTCTTGGTTTAATTCTTTGTTTAAACAGCTTATTGGCAATTAAGCCGAGGGGATTTTGATAATCAAAAGACAAAATTCCTTCTATGCATGGATTCATACCTACCCAGTTTACTCTTTTTACACTAAGGGAGGCCGTAATAAAGAGTAAAAATTGTACAAAAAAAAGGCTTCACAGTGAGTTGCCCGAAGAAGAAAAAATCTGCAGTGTAGTGAAATAAGACAAAATAATTACAAAGACTTGTGCCACTCTAAAGTTTCCTCTTCTCTCAAAAATTCTCCTTCTCTTCTGGTTTTTTTCCCCTTCGTGTCGTTGATCATTCCAAAATATTCACTTCAAGCGTGACGAACATGGTTGGGATGGGCTTGGGATGAGACACTTAAAAAATTCTCTTTTCACCAGACCTAGGTCTGCGAAGTTACAGGATGAACTTGCTTGGGACCCTCTCAGTATTAGAAGAGTACATGACATGAAGAATACATGAATTAAGCAAATTTTCAAGATAGCTAAGAATCTTGCTCTATGTTATTTAACTGAACTACTGCATTAACTTAACTATTTAGTGAAAGTACGCATTTTCGTCCCAGATCAAAAGAAAACTTCACTCAATTTCCTTGCAGAACTTCTAGATTTTCGCCTGGAATTCTCTGGACCTAGATGTCCGAAACTCTGTATTTCTTTCCAGTTTTAAAGCGGAAACACGGTCAATGATTCTCTTTTCGTATTCTTACCATCAGTTATTTGATTGTTCTATTGATCGCACCCGCCTTAGAATTGGGTTTTCTTGTCTCAGAGAAAAAAAAGTTATAAAATAAAATAATTAATAGTTGTGCATCGTCTATTTGTGAGAACGGTCTTGACTTTGAATCGGTGGAACACTTTTTCTTGTATTGCCTAAGGTATGCCGCCCAACGTAACGTCCTCCTTACATCTGTTGCTAATATCCCAGGTGAAACATGGTCATCGAGGCGCGATGAAAAGAAACTAAGTTTTTTGTTGTATAGTGTTATATCTGTAAATTACGACGTCAACTGTGCTTTTTTTTCGCAAAGTACAAAGGTTTTTAGTCAATACTAATCGCTTTTCGTAACCATTGTTTGATTGTTTTAAATGATATATCTTTAGCTTTGTATGTTTAACTCGTTTCTATTAAAATTTGTGTGTGTTGTTTGTTTTTGTGTGAGCCTGAATAGATTAAATTAGAATTTGATATATTGTAATCCCTTTTGCTTGGCCTAAATGCTTGTGGGGAAAACAAAAAAGAAACTCTTCTGCAACGAAATCTTCAAGAACACATGTTCATGCAAACTCAATTGTTCGGCTTGAGCTCAGCAGTTGAAGAGAGTTTACTTACCAAGCATTTGGCTGACACTAAGAAGAGTTTATTTTCCAGAGGATGGGAGCCAGAAGGCAATTTCAACATGATCAGGCCGTTCTAACAAACCTAGAAGAAATCAAATGGCACAGAGGAAAAATGTGAGGCAAGTTCACCAAAGATAAAGGGAGGATCTGTTTCATTTTGAAATGCTTCCCTTCAACATGCCGGATGAATTATCACTGTCCCCACAAAAGTACGGTTGTAAGAAGGAGAAAATACAACAATTCTTAATTCGTTGCTTCGAAAAAAGTTAATTTTGTCAAGTTTTTCGGTAGTTTGCGCAGAAATAGAGTGTGTGGTGATTTGTTGAGAAGTATGGTCAGACTGTCATCACCTGTGCTCGATCTTTGAGGTAATATAACAAACTGTTTCCTGTTTTAAGTTTACCTTCAAAGCTACCACAGTCTTAAATCTAGGAAATGGAATAATGCCTCAGGAAATAACTAACCACAAGCTAACTATTCCATTCCAGTGGTTATGAACGAGTAGTGCAAATTGCACCACAAACGGCAAGTCAGCTGGATGGATGTAACATGGATGCATTATTAAAAATTCTTCAGCGACACTAGTATAAATCTGCAAAACAAAACAGAGACACCTAGCAGGAATAACCTTTAAACATGTAAAAAAAATTTCCATTTTGCTATCTACAGGATCGACGAAGCTACACAATGAGTTACCGGATGGAAACTGAATCGAAGCTGGAGTTATAGGGCTCCCTGAAAAATTCAAAGAGAAAAACTGTACATGTCAGATTTTCAGATCCCTGGTGGCCAAGGCGGTCGCACGTTCCCCTTTACACTTAACTGTTTGCTATCTTAGTCTTTTTCAGTAAAGATTTGTTTTATTTTGACAGGCAAATAACTATCAATTTACTGCACGCGACGAGACGTCATGAAAGGAGTGAAGTTTAGCATAGGGCGCACCGTTAAGAGGATAGACGAATTTCGCTAACTTCAACGTTTTTATTGCTGTAAATTTCTATCGCAAATAGAACCAAATTCGAAGCAGTTTACTTTCTTATTAAAAGATGTATCTTGAATTAAAAGAATTAAGAAATAAGTGCTTCGAGTGTACCATGAGTGTGCCTTTCTCTCCAGTCTGTTCCTTTTCACAACATACCAGTGTGAAATAAAACAACTGTTTATATGGAATATTAGATCTGAATTAGTGGCAATGAAAAATCACACTTCCACTATTCATGATCTGTAAGTCAAACCTCTCATATTTCTAATTGTGGTCAAAGCTTAGCTTTGCATCATACAGCTAGAAAGATAAACTGAAAAGGGCATTCACGCGTTGTAATGTTCACCGTGAATACACTATTCTTCTGCAATACATTATGTAATTACTAACGACATGGAGATGATAACTCAACGGTATGTACACCTTGACAACCGAAGATTCCGTTACCTCCCATGTTCGATGAAACGGTGGTTACAGACGTTCGACCGTAGCTCCAAATCATTGCTTTTTGTGATTCATTTCCGTTATAATCGGCCAAAAAAGCTCGACAGAACATTCCGGTGCCTCTCACTGAGACCTGTTCCTTGATTAAAAATCGTTTTAAATATTCGTTGAAAGGGTCCAATTTGGTATTTGACTGTACGAGATTGGCAAAATTTACATACGTAGCGCAGGGGTGACAAGAAATAGCTCCTCCGAATTCATAAGAAATATTATTCTCAGAACGTTGCCTCTGTTTAACTGGACGTAAGACTCGCATAACTTTTTTAGTGCACTGGTGACATTTAGTTCGAACAAATATTTGGCTCCTCAATCAGACGATCGTATTCAACAGAAGTACACCTTTGGATATTGTTGCACGAAACTTCAAGTCTAATTTGACGCTGGCGAAAAAGGTTTGTCGAAAAATATCGATAGCTATGAATAGCTAGAATGTAAAAACACGAAGCTTAAGACACAACAACTGATAGAATCAGTGTATCTAACATCACCTGTTGTTCTTAATGCCTTTGATGGTCGGCTAAATTCACTCTTGACATCTTCAGAGATGGTGCACACCCTGAAGTAATACTCAGCATTATGTTGCAGATCAGTCACCCGTGCCATAGTACCACGTACTGTACAGATGTTTGGTACCAGGCTTTCTGTGTCACATTTGGCCCAAGCCCACGAGTAATCATCATGACGTTTAATCTGAATTGCGTACGTCACATTAAGCAAAGAAGTCGACTTCCATTTAATAGTGATGCTATTTGTTGTACTTCCCATGAAGGTAGGCTTCTGGGGTGGATCTAAAAACATTAGAATGTTAATAACAAATGATTAGATGTTCTTTTTGCTCCCAAAATAAAGCAATGCAAATCCATCCAGCCGCAACAACGTACCCATTTCATCTATTACTTTAAATCATAATGTACATATACGTCATATAATGTTCCAATGTAAAAGCTCGCTCAAAGCAAGGAGCTTTAATTGAGAAGAAGATCATTTCACTTGTCTCAAAAGTGAACTTAATTGAATTCATCGTAACCTCAAAGTAGAATGACCAGTTACTTCTCAGCGATAAACAAATCATCAATTTGTACTCACGTACTAGATCTATTTCAGGCAGCCTTTTCGCTGCACATTCAAGAACTGCACCGAAAGCAAATAACAACTCAACCAAATGGTTAGTTGCTTTGAATGTCTTCACTTTCTTTAAATGACACATATCCTAACTCACACTTTTTTAAAGAAATTGAGAAATTAGATTCTGGTGGTTGCTAATTAGGGTCTTGTTTGTTATTGTCTAATGAAAAACTCCTCAACTAACCAAGATTCTTTGTTTTCATTGGTCCTGATGGGGTACTAATAGACAATCTGCTGACAAAAATTCTGAAGTAGTATGTTGTGGATGGTTTCAAGTTCACCACAGTGGCTTTCAGGCTTTCCCTCACGCAGGAATCAGCGATTAAACTTTCCTTACAGTACGCAGAGGCCCATGTCATGGTGTCCTTGTTCCACATCTGCACAATAAACTTTGAGGACCTTGAAGAATTCCATGATATGTCAATGTTTACGAAGTCGCTTGAGACAAATTCCGGTGGTCCTAAGGCACCTTAGGAAATATGAATCAAAACGAAGTCAGACGAATGGCTGAATCATAATACTGCGAAGAACGAAGGAAAATAATGTTACAAAAGTTAAAATCAATTACGTTCTCAAGAAAGGTTTGTCAATTAGTTGAAGTGCATATTTTACCGTTCGCAAGAGGATTTTTAACGTGGTAACTCGAGGTCAATAACAGTATACTTCAGTCGGGATCCCACATATCTGGTCTAACCTCCATGAACCTTGGTCTGGCGGTTTCAATTTTGACATACAATGTACATACCTAGAGGGATGCAAATTACACTTGCAGAAGAATAGGGCGGGCAAGATCTAGTGGCATTCCAACCCATGTGTTTACACTGTGACAGTGAGGTCTCGTTGCCTTTGCACTGTACATTACTCATCCAGGTGACAGGTGGATCCCCTTCACATGCATAGGGATCAAAAGTACTCTGTGCCCCCTCATAGCCCAGTTGTTGACATACTACATTGGCGTCGTTGAGATCCCACGAGTCACGACACACTGTACCCCAAACTCCCCCGAACAAAACTTCCACGACACCTCCTGAACGTAAAGAGTCCTCACACATATCAACCAACCTAACTGTTACGAAAAAGATGTAAGTATGTCTCATCTATATCATTTTGACTGCTATAATCTTGTCAGTACAAGAGAGTCAAAGATTGTTTTTGGGTCGTTTTGTCCAAAGCATAGCCGTACCATCTTTTATACATGCAGTTAAAACGTGACAAACTCTTTATCCTTTGTGAATACCTAAATGGATAATTCAGAGCATTTAGGAAATATAGTACTTGAAATCAAATTAAAAACAAGGTAAGGAGGTTTCCTTTCAGTCAAGTCAAGTTTTTAAGGCGGCCGACAAATGAGGCGGACGGCAGCCGTGAAATTACTGTAATAACAATAGACTAAGTCCTTGATCCCAACAGAAATGTCTGACTAAACCGATAATCACGGATTAATTTTAGTATTATCAACTGAGTTGATAACGTAAATTTGCCACCGTAAAGAGTTTCAAAGCTGACGTTCCGAGCGTTAGCCCTTCGTTAGAGCGAAGCAGAGCTCTTTATAATACTTAATTACCCTGTTATACTCTCCCACCCACGCAGCGCCACAGTTTTTTAGAAGCTTACCCCAATAATCACGGACATTAACAATCAATATTTTACCTTGAATCCCGCTACATTTCATACCAGCCATTTGTTTGGTTGTACAAGTGCTTTTCTGGAGCAAACTACCATGCTTACATGACAAAAGGGAGCTTTCATCACCAACACATTGCACATTATTTAACCACGCTGTCCAATGCTCCTTTCTCTGGTTAGAAATTGGAAAGCTCAGAGCTGTAGATGAGCTTTGGTAACCTAACTGCCGACAAGCTACATCAGCGTCTGTTGTATCCCATTGCTCATCGCAGACCAACTTCCACATGTTATTGTGATAAACCTGTACTAAACCTTCACCTGGCGTTGCTGTTGTTCCAACTATTCGCACTGAAATGTGTAGAATTTGTATTTAATTGACCTATGGCGGCATGTTAGAAGGCGACAAAGCTAGTCATTATTCCTTTAAAGGAAAACATCGAAGAAGTGCTTTTCAACCCTGAGCTGTATCTAGCCACACTAAGGTTTTAGTACTTACCAAATTTGTCCTTACGAGTTAAAACGATCAGTGGGTTGTTTTTATTTTAATATATATATATCAAATGGATATATCATATATGATATGATATATATCAAATATATATCATATCAAATGGATAAATTACCACTGCCAATTGGAATCATAGCGAGGCATGTTTCTTAGACAATGGTAAAACTGTTCAGGCTAGCGTCAGGTTATGTATAATTTTCAGTCCATATCAGAAATTAAAGCCACAAATCAAATGCCTGATTTGTTGAAGGCCTACTTATAGCAGTAAAAACTTTAACACGTTTCCCAAGACATACTTCCAAATAAGTTACGGTGATTTACTTTTCAGACTACTCCTCTAATGGCTACGGGAAAATATCATCAAGTGTGCGATAATAAATGAGAGAACGCGCACGATGAATAATTTTGAACCGATAAACATAAGAAAGGTTACCGCGCACTGAATTACACGAAAACTGAATTTAGCGACCATATTTGCTGAATCACTAATCAAGTGAACATACCAGTAGGGGTACAAATGACATTGCCAACTGTAGGAGGTTCTGTTTCACCATCTATGACATTGAAGACCAATTTCCATCCTTGGTGCGAGCAGCTCAAAACTGAAGTCTCGTTTCCGGTACATTGCAAATATCTCAGACATACCTCTGCGATCCCCGAAATACCATGGAAAACAGGAGCTGCTAACGCTTCATCGTGACCTAGCTGACGACAAACTACATTTGCATCCTGCTGATCCCAATGATCACCACAAATTGGTCCCCAGAATCCTCCAAACAGAATTTCCACGCGGGGGTGTAAGCTATGCGAGTCATTTGCACTGATTCTTGCTGTTGAGATAAAGTCAGATTTAATTCATGTTGTAACTTCCTTGATGTTCTCGTGTTAACACTCATAAGTGCAAGCAGCGTTTTTATTTCCCATGCTTCATGATTAAAGGGCTCATTGATGGGTCTTAATTTGTCAAGGTTTTTATAAAGGATAACTCTGTTCCTTTTTTGGATGTTGAAACTTTAGGAATTCATTTTCGCAGCGTTATAATTCCAAGTAATTAAAATTCGGGCCAGATGAATTTATGAAATAACAGATATGATACCATGGCAAAGTTCGAAATCAGTTAATACTTTTGTCACTTTGTAATATTATCATGAAATCAACGATCAGGTTTTTTATCCCTGTCATGCTCGCACCAAACCTGCATAATTTGTAATTTATTTGTTGTTTATAACGAACCACGTAGAAATAACTTAAAACTTTTATTGATGTTCTGTGTGTATACCTTCTGGACCGGTGCAAACAACGCCAACGTTTCCGCCAGTGGAACAGCTGTTATTGGTATATCCATCGTGAACACACATGGAAAGCGAGCTCTCGTTTCCAGCACACTGAAAATTGTTCATCCACAACGAACCATTTCCCTGCTCATTTGGAGAAAAAGTATTTACTGAGGATGCGCCTGTGTAACCCAACTCTTTACAAACCACATTCGCTTCTTTCTCAGGTTTCCAGTTCTTAGCGCAGATCCAGCCCCAAGTGTTATTACGATAAACTTGAACAAGGCCTTCTCTGGCTGACAGTCCTCGAACTAAACGAACTGAAGGGAATATTTAACGCTATTAGCAAAGCAGTAAGGTAATTAACTAAATCAAATTATCATTTCGACAACATAGGCATAACTTAGGACAGATTTCTGATTTAAATAACCAAAAAAAAAGAAAAAACATAGAAGTTCATGTCATCTCATATAGATCTATTTGCTTATTAGCCACATTCTCACAGGCGTTGTTCTTACCTCTATTTGAAAAACAAATAAATTCAGTTAAAGTTGTGTATGATCCAGGTTAGTAGATTTAAAAGAACTATAAAAATTACAATCAGCGTCATAACAGGGAAATGTTAGATCCAGCAGTGGAGTTCGTCAATGGCTGATGTTTATTTATTACATTTACTTTGCCGAGCAAACGACTGGTCTATTTAGATGTTCAAACCAGAACAATGCCATTCGAAGGTAAAGCCTAAATAATAAAAGAAACAAACAAAAACTTGACGGTTGTTGAACTAAAACTAGAAATAGCCTGTTTCCGTTTAAAAAAAAACACTTTCTCAGGAACATAAACAAAAAGCCCTTTGAAATTTCTGATGTCCTCACCTGATGGAGAACACCTCACACCAACTTCTCCACTCCAGCAATTGCTGCCCACGCCTAACCAGTCGTGTGTGCAGTTTAGTATTGAGGTCTCGTTTCCAAGGCAATGAACATTGGTTAATCTTACATCATCTATTCCTATTGCAGACGGTCCATGGTAGGTGGGTTGCACAGCTCCATGATACCCCAGTTGACGACAAGCTACATTGGCTTCCGGAAAATCCCAATTGTAATTATGACATATTCCTGCCCAGACGCCATTAAACAAAACTTCTACTTGACCTTGATATAATGTGTGTTCACCACCTACTAAGCGAACTTTAAAAGAGAGAGAATTAAATGTCATTGAATCAATTGATTATAACTATGCAAAGGTATGGGAAATTGGTCTAACCCCATCAGGCGAGAGGGACCAACAGTCTAATGATGAGATAAATTAACGTCAAGGAAGCGGCAGTTACTCGGAAATTTCGGAAAGGATAAAACACGAACTGGGAGTTTCATGAAGGTCAATAAAACTTACCATAGTGACATCGTTAAGGATACGCTTAAGATTTACAGCTGAGTTGGCTTCACAACGGAATGGTTCAGGATCAATAGCAGCAGTGTAAACGCAGTAAATGTAGTGCAATAGTAGTAATAGTAGAAGTAGTGGTAGAGTTGATAGAAACATATTAGTAATAGCAATATTGTCAGTAATCTGAGAAGTACAGGTATCAAGTTAAGTCAATCAATCTTAAGTATCAATCTTAAGTTTAATATCAATCAAACTTAAGAGCTAAGAATATTACAAACTTTACAAGAACAAATTGGTGTTACCCTCAGGTCCGGTGCATCGCACTCCCGCCATTTGATTGCTTGCACAGCTCCCGCCTAACCATCCATCATGAACGCATGAAAAAAGAGAGCGTTCATCTCCAGTGCAATTTACATTGGTCATCCACGTGGTACCATTAGCACCGTCACGTGCTGTGTCCGTGTAAGCTTCAGAGGAGCCTGAGTATCCCAGCCACTGACAAGTCACATTAGAATCGTGTTTGTCCCACTGCTCACCACAAACCCAGTGCCAATTGTTGTTGTAATAAACTTGTACCAGACCTTGCTTGTTAGATGCCCCACCTACTAGGCGGACTGCAAAGGAAAAAAGAAGTTCATAAATGTCGCTGGTGAGGTTTAAAATCTGTCAATTATGTTTGTTAAATTAGCAAAGAAGCATCTTTTCTGAGACGATTGTACAAAAATGTATTTTCATTTTCACATTTTCCAGATGGTTTGGTTCTAAATTTCCTTGGGAACCAAACATCAGTTGTCTAATGAATGAGTTTAGGCTACAAGAGTATAGACTCACAGACAACTCTTCCATACCCTGGGGAATAAATTTCACAAACACAACTGTTTACCTATCCTTTGGAACATCGGGCTGAGGTCTCTTGCTCCATGTTGAATTTTGAAATATATCGAAAGTTTTCGATTGCCCGTCGTGCGGGAATTTCTCTTTTTTATATACAATGCTGATAAAATTTACGTTGAAAAACGTACAGCAATGCTACCACTTATGTTGCCTTACGTACAATACCACTTATTACCAGACGTTAGTTACTGATTGCGTCACGTTACTAACAATGTTACTACGTTACTTAAAATATTACACTTTTTGCGGTACTCAACAGTACTACAATAGGCACTGCTTACTCTTATATTCACTTCATGATAATACGCAGCATAAACAACATATAAACAAAAGAACAAATTTACACCATTTGCCTTAAAATGCTTTTATCAAATATAATTAACAGCAATGTAGGATTAAAATAACAATACAAGGTTGTTTGTGACACTCTTTGTTCTTTTCTTTGTAACTCCTCCTACATTGAACTCCTTTTAACATCCTTTTAACATCGCTAAACCATAAAGAAGATTTTGAAGTCATCTTTAAAGTTAAAATTACCTATAATCCCTTTCGTGATTAGTCACCATGCAATAATTTCTGATTGTGCAAGTAATATTTCGCGTATAAAAAGGTGAAGCTTAACTCCTGAATACTATCTTATTATTGCTTACATTTTCCCTTTCATTGAATTCATTCAGTTGGTGAATGGTTCTCGATTCCGGGAACAACCTCGTAACTTAGAGAAGAATGATAAGGACGCATCCAAACCAGTCGCTAAACACTTTCCAAATCATTCTAAGTTGCATAGGGCAGTCTGCAGCCTTTCCCTATATCTGCACTCTTTATTCTAAGAGTTGCTCCATTTTCGGCGTATAAAGCACACACAACTCATAATTTCTCTATTGTCTCTGACGAAGGGCAAACGCTAAAAACGTCAGCATAGTATCTCTTTACGGTTGCAAATTTACATCGTCGAGTCAGTTGTTAAAATCAAATTATCTTGTGATACCCCAACCAACGTTGAACCAGTATATTCCTCTCTAGCTCATGGAAAATATTTGAAATTTTTTTCTATATGCTGCTGATATTATAACGACGTTTTAATGTCGCTTTTGATAAACTGGAATAAATGGGTAAAAATTTTAAAATTCTGAAATTAGTCATTCTCGGGTAATAAGTGAACAATGGGATGCTTAGTTTTACCTTGTAAATTACACATGACTTTGGTGGCCCGGTAGCCAAAAGTGCAAAATCTGACTGAGGTGAATCCAGTTTGCGGACAATCAGTCAGGGAGGTTTCGTTCCCAAGACACCGTAAATCATTTCTCCACCGTAAATCATTTCTCCATTCGACTCCATCATAAATCCAGAGAGGCTCGGGTCGCAGGGCAACAGCTCCATCAAACCCCAGGTGACGGCAAGTGACATGAGCATTATTGAGGTTCCACGGAGCACTACACCACGTACCCCAGGTTCCATTAAATTGCACTTCAACACGGCCATACGAAGATCGATTATAACCGCCACTTAATCGCACTGTTGAGCATAATATAAAACGAGAAATTTGACAAAGATGGTGAAAAGCTGACTGAGGGACTTAGGACAGGAATGAAACTGCGGAGTCAATCTACTTACCAACAATATCTGACGCAGTTCCCGTCCGAGGAAAGAGTCCTGAAAAATTTACAAACAAAAGATAAATCCTAATAACAGTAGAGGGATTCTGGTCGTGGTTTAAAGTTTCTTTCTGAGCTATCGTCAATGATGCTTATATATATCTACACATCTGCTGAGAAAGGGAGAAGATGAATGAAACGTGTCTCTAAAGTAAGCTGCGATCGGCCAGTATGGTAAAGTATCTGAGGAACATTTGAACATTGTCAGCCCTTAATGTAACATATTCCTTTTGAAAATTATATATCAATTTAAATGATGGCTATATATTTGGTATCGAAAGAGATTTTTATCAGACATACAGTGATTTCGGGTAAAATTAGCAGTTACGTGACTAGACGTCCTTAAGAGCCGATATCGATCGAGAATGAACTGCCAGAGATCACTCATTTACCAGGGTAGAACAAACGTTTGACTTCTGTTACATTTGCAGAAAAAACGAAGCTATATTTGATAATATCAGACCGTAAGTTAAAATTCTCAAGTATTGATCTGAATACGCTAAATGGTTAAAATCACCGAGGCTTGGGATGGATAAGTTGCTAGATAAAGTCACAAACAATTGTTTACTGCGCGGATTCTATGATATTTCCTGTTTTGTAAAAGCAAATCAATCAGACACAAAGTACGTATGATGACCAACATCATGATCACATCACATCGCTTTTAAAAGAAGACAAGGAAAGGAATGACTGAGCGAGTACGAAATTTGGACTTAGGATTGACCTTCAACTGCACTATATTCATCATTGTGCCAAGTTATTTTCACTCGCAAAAATTTTTTAAGTGGTTGGTTCTTACCTCCGACAAGAAATATACAAAGTAGGACTCTAGAAATAGCCATCAAATATATCCTTCTGTAGCACAACTCGTTCGCTGTTGGATACTCCACTGATTTGTGGTACAAGCATCTCTGTGGAATGAATTCAATGTTGTTGAGTTGTTTGATGGTGACATCATGAGGTACGCATTTTGGTTAAACCTTATATTGTCAGTTTAGTACATATTGGTTATTCGCTTTGTGGCAATACCAGTAGTAACGGAAAAAAATAGAGGTATATTGAACTAACGGAAGGCTTTTACGATTAAATAGACCTTAGGGAAAATTTCATCGAGTAATCTTGTCTAACGACGGATATTTGGATGTTGCAAGGCTGGTTTTGACATTTGCATAACACTTTCTTTCATTGCATCCAAAAAAATCTCAATATCTAGAACGATGAACTGTTTAACAAACAGAGAAGGCTTTACTGTGCTCTGTTCTGTTACAAAGCACGCAGGAAGCGGCTAGAGCACGAAAGAAGTGTTGGGATAAACCCAAGACGTAATAAAGCGTTTCTCCCCACCTCTTGAGTGCTCTAGCCGCTTCCTAAGTGCTCTACAACAGAACAGAGCACAGTCAAGGCCTCTCTATTTGTTTCATGATAAGGAATCCGTTAACTTCCCACGCATTACTTTCAATTTTCAAAACAAACTTTATTTCCAAAGCGAACAACAGTGTCGTCAGCATGCTCTATACTCTCATAAAGCACACTACAATAAGCCAATCAGAATCCTTGTTAGAATGTTTCAAATAATATGGTTGGTTGAACAAGAGTAAAGCTGTCAAAAGTGTCAAACCATCAAAGTTCGCAATAGTTTACAAACTGAAATAGTTCGGCAGGTCGATTTTAACACTTTTGCCTTAAGTTTTCTCAGTCTCTATTACAGAATCTGAAAGTGAAATTCTCAGTGAAAACCGGCTGAATTGTGGCTTATAAAGACGCGCAAGTTTTTAGACATAACAATTAGAAAACAAACTGCCCATGATCAAGGTGTGTGTTTTATGAATGAACGACAGCCGAATTCGCAAGAACATGAAGATTGCTCGGGATGGCAGCGCCGTAAAACTCGGCTCGGTTGCTGAAACTGCTGTAACTGCTGCTGTAACTGATGTGGTCTTCCAGTCATCAGAAAGGATATCAGGGCAAGCTCCTAGTTTTTCAATCGAAGGGCAGCTGATGTAAAATCTGAGGCTTGCTTCACTGCAATGACCGGAAATCACCATTATGAGCAAGCCGCGATGGACCTCAACATGATCGCAGTCGCTCTTACACCGTCATGATTAGTATTAATTTTAACATTTAGGCCAGTCTGGCTTTATTTTTCATCATTCCTGTTTGTTTTGTTTCAGTGTTAGCTGAGTTTGATTTTTTAACACACGTAAGCTTGCAATCTAGCTGAGCGTGAAACCTTCAAAACTTGGACTGTCCATTTCGCTTTCTCTTTGATGATTTTTGTCTCTTCTCACGTTATCATAACGTCAGTTACTGTGCCTGACATGTTTTCAAACCTTTCTTTGGTTCTTCTGTTGCTACTTGCCGGCTCGCTTGGTTCGAAATTTCAGTTTCAATCAACGAAAAAAAGGCTAAAGAGAAGTCTGGGAAAAGGTCGGACCGACAATTTGGCAGATGGCGTGACAGCTTTAGCTCATCTCTATGCTTTGTATTCTGATAGAGCACACTCTTTCAACCAATGACAGCGCGCGTTATATCCAAACTTTATCATAAATCTCCATCGCCTTTTGGCCTCCCATCAACGTGAGCGAGGCCGCAATCTATCCCTTTTACATTCTCAAATTGCTCTACATCACGGCGCATGGAACACTCTTACCTCACCCTGGGAAGAAAAAAAAAAAAAGGTGCTTGCGCCTCAGCCTACCAATTTATTTTTGTCAGGCGCTTGATGAAAATGGGGAGTTAAGTTATCTTTGCGGTGACGCCTAGGATTGTATCAATTAAAAATGAACTTTCTGTACCCCTTAAAATCGGAATTCAACTGGTAGCTCAATGTGTTCAGTTTATTGTCGCAAAACTGCAACAGCAAACTACTTATGCTAATATTTGACTATGTTCGTGTAAATCAACTTGCAAACTCAGAATGAAAGGGTAGCGAGTATATTTTTCGTTCCCCTTTGTTTGTTCAGCGTACGGCTGCTCAATACTATCTAACAACTCAGAAAGCTCAATCTAACAAGCAAAGGTGTTTCAAAATATTAATATTATAATCAGCAGTGGACGTTTCCAGCTTAGAGGCATTCCAGCACTTACAGCTTTTTCAGAAACTTATCTTTGAGCGGCCGATCATCAGACAGATAGACAAGACATTTCACGAGTTTGAAGAAGGTCTACAATGTTCATCCCGGCGGTATTTTTTTGATGGAGTTATTACTAAATCCATTCTTTGTATGCCACTGACAAGTTCGTGCTTGGTTGCGATTAACGCTGTAAGAGTCATTTGTTCCTGTCATAGAGACCACCTCTTTTGTCTTCCCCTAACTAAATAATGTTTGGAGGAGGAGGATTTCCAAAGATAGCTTAATTACCACCCTAAAGACGTGAGATTAGATAGAGTCATTTGTTCCTGTCACAGAGACCACCTCTTTTGTCTTCCCCAAACTAAATAATGTTTGGAGGAGGATTTCCAAAGATAGTCAAGTGCCACCCTAAAGAAGAGAGCTTAGATACCGCCTGTTTAGAGTCGAGCGTTCGACCGATCGATTAATCAAAAGAACTGGCCTTCAAAAGTATGTCCTCCACTTAAATGGATAATGATGAGTTATAATGTATAAAGTCAAAAAATATAAAATGGAAGTTGCTTCTCTATGGTGAGCTTTATTCATGTTCTCTAGATCATTGTAAAGACATATTCTGGTTCTCAAGGTGATGCACTTGAAGCTTCTCATGACTTTTTGTGCCAAGAATTTGGCAAATAAACGAATTACTCGTCCGCGTTGCCTGTGTTAAGCAGACCTCTATCTATGGTCCAGCCTAACTTGAATCCATTCTGTAAATTAGCAAGTGTGATTTCCTTTAATCGACCGTGGCCAAACCTTTCAGTCAACAGCGCGTTTATATAATTTGCCCCAAAGCAGTTATTTTTAGCATAAGGGATTTTTTTCATCAATCTCACTGTAGTCTTTCTTACAGAATGAATTCGATGACAGCCTTATTTTACCAGGATTGACTGTGCTTTTGTCGCAGTCAGAGCAAACGGTGCCTATATCTCTTAAACACGATAAAAAGCCAAAACTTGCTCTATTCCGTAGCCTAGATAACTACATCTAACTGCAAAACTCCCTTATTTTTTCCCAGCCACGTCAAAAATAACAACAACAATGCTACTTTGTCACTCCTCCTAGAATTTTGGTGGGATGCTCCTTCCATTTCTAGACTACCATACGATGTAGAATCTTTTAAAGCAAAAACATCTAAAAGGAAATTTACGGTAACCCAACCATAAATGCCTTCGACCTGACCAGCGATGATTCTAGCATTGCCATAGTTCTGAAACAGAAAAGGAAATTCTCTTTGTCGTTAAACTGTTTCCTAACCTCAACTAAAATAGCGTTTGCCTGATCATCAGGCAAGAGTCTCATGCATGCTGTTGCTAACAAAAATATCGGAGTGGATACTTGTTTGTCCTCTGGAATAGTTTGCTTAGCAGATTCAAGTAGAGGATTCATGTAAGCTTCAACTTGAGTCGGGTCATCAGAAAAGTCAGGAATTCCAGGTTTCACTTTATTTGGTGAGGCATCGATCTGGACAACGTCAGAAGGTTGGAGGGAAGGACCACTGGCAAGGAACTTGTAGATTTCCATGCGAGTGCCGCTGGATCCTGCGTCAAACAAGATGGCGTGGGTATTGTGACCGGTGGATGGTCTGAGAGACAACCAGCAAATAGAAGAAGCTCAGCAACACATTAAATTTTATCTTATGTTAGTTGTTTCGGTTCGTGTCTGTTACACTCATATAGAATGTTTTAATATTCCAAAGCTAACGAAACTGAAGCAGGAATTTCTAGCTTTCAGTCCGACATCGAAACTGCAAAAAGTGAGTTTGCCTTGTTATACGTTATAAAACTGGTTTAGAAAGAAAGGCGAGAAAGAAAAAAAACCCACAATCAAGTCCGTTTTTCAAAGATAGATTGACAGTCTTCATTTTACATTATGATTCCGTTGTTTTCAAAGAACATCAGCCAGTCTCTGTAAACTTGTTCTGCGAAATTGACATGAATTTTTCTTGCATCGTGATTAGCATATTACTCCGGCTGAAAATTTTCTGTAGGAATTTTCATCATGTTTTTTCCACCTTCGGTAAAAGATAAAAAAGTATACAACTTTTTAGCTTTGGCTTGATAATGCTAGGAATAGGAGCAGGATTCGAAAACGAAAAAAAGGACAGTAATCAATCTAGTTCCTTTCTATTCATCTGAAAATCACCACTAGCAAATACCAACATTTTTGGATGTCACAGAAAATTTAAAACCGATCGTGTGCCACCCAATGCGAAATTCAGACACTTATCACTTATGAGTCGGTTAACTTATTCTCGGCAAAAAGCAGCGTTTAAAATGCCCTTTTTTAGCAGACTTAGTTATTTAAAAATATTAGAACTAAAAATGAATGCCTTTGAGAGTCAGAGAGAATTATTCGAATTATGTTATAAAACATTGCCTGCTTAATAAAACCAATACCCTTTAGTTTGGTTGTACTTTAGGCCCAAAGGAAGAGCAGCACGTGCATGAGTCAAAGTTCCAACTCTTTGTCGCCTCCTGTCAGCTTTTGTTTTAAAAGCTTTTCTGTTCTGGAAAAATAAACAAAGGTGAGAAGGAAAAAAACCCTCGTCAGAGTTGCTTTTCAAGAGATAGATCCATAAAGATACTCTCTTCATTTTACAGAGAGATTCAACATGGGGGATTCTGTAGTGAAACTGATTTTCGGTACAATTGAAAACCTTAGCAGGTAGGTTTACTCTTAGGGTATTAGAACGCAGTCAGTGTCATAATTTCAATTGGGAATTTAATGGTGGAGGAAGAAATTTTATGCTTTTCGGAGCATATTATGAAATATTAAAAAAATTATGTACATCTGATAATACAGTATTGCTATTTTTATGATCATGGCTCAACAATTATAGCCTACCATACCAACCGTTTGTAGACATTTCAAGGCCCGAAGTGCTTTAAGACCGTAAACCAACCACTCAAATCCAGCACAAACGTGAAAGGCATCTGCTACAGCATTAGTAAAGCCAGTACTGACAAAAGAAGAGTAAATCTGAAAGAGAAAACTCCACACCCGTGTATAGCAATGAACGTTTTCCCTATTTTCGACAGTCTAACGCGCCCAGGCGAAAAATTGTTATGCAGCAGGTTGAACCATGGCCAGCACTTGCTATAAAAGTGCCAGTCAGGGTAAAATAAGTGATGTCTAGACAAGGTAAAACTTATACAACAACAAGACCAAGGTAACTAGAGTCGTAATTTATCTTCATTGTGTCGTTGTCGTTACACGCAATAAAGATATACAACATATTTTGAGTGATAGATGATAAAGAAAAACCACTTCTTGGGTTTCTTTACACAGTATGTTTTACACTTGCTCGGTTCTCGGGCCTCGTTAGCATTGCTATTTGATTGTTCATTTGATTAGCAAATACCAATACAAATTGCAAGTTAATGGAAATACAAATTAAAAAACAGAACATTCAATATCTGAATGCTTCGTGTCAGTAATACTTATAATCAATTAAATATCTCTGAATACAATACATGAAGGAAAAACTTCCATTACATGGCAACAACTCATAAAACCACATAATTCAACATCACCTGCTGTTCTCAAGGCTCCTGACGGTAAACTGGCGTCACTTCTGACTCCTCTGTAGTTAGCATAAACTCTAAAATGATACGCAGAGTCCTCTTCGAGACCAACAACCTCCGCAACTGTGCCTGTCACCGTGCATTTATTATTCCAAATAGTCTGTTTACACGTTGCGTTCATCCACGTTGTTTCTTCCCCAGGTCTTATATTTACGGTATATGTAGCAGATTGAAGATAAATTGGTGACCACCTGATAGTGATTGTATCAACGGTGTTGTTTACAAATACCGGAAAACCAGGAGCATCTTCAAAAACATATGAACGGAATTGAGAAAAAAAAAACAAACAAACAAAAACAAGATATAATCAACGAACGTATTGAGAAAAATAATGATTCTGGAACCAAAATCCTCTGAACCTGTACATAAATTATTAACAGATCTAAATAACCGAGGGACCGCGGTAGCAGTCCTTCCGTATATTATTTAATCATTCATCAAATACAGGACAACAGAACTGTCATTATCAATTCATCACACCTAATTTCATCACCTATCCTCAAAAGGACCGTGAAAAGGCAGGGACAGTCATTTCTTCACACTTCATTTCATTTATTCTCAGCGACAGGGCTGCGGGTCTTCAGGAGCAATCGTTCAGTGAAATGCAATACCAATTTAGTTAAAAAAAAAAAGAATTTTCTAGCTGGGGCTGCAGAACTGCACAAATCTACGGATCATTCAATTTTCACACTTACTGCTAAAGCGCGGTGAGCACCAAGATTAGTGCTCCGAAAACTTGCCCATTATTCCGAAAATCAAAAGCTCTCAATAGTTGATTTACATATCCTTGGTTTCTTTAGAAGATATTTTTTTTTATCAACCTTGTCTAAGAAGTAACTTTTTAGATTTTCCACCGAACGGAAGCACATGCTTGCCACTTTTTTTTAAATAGACTTTTGATCCTATGAAAGGACATTTACTGAAAGATTTGCATGATTTCCATCAAAGTAACTCAGTAGCAATCTAGACGTGATTTTTACGCTGACTCAAATTCATCCAATCTATTCTGATTAATTTCACGGCCGATAGTATCATTTACAGATGTAGCACCTCCCAGTTAAGTGTTATGCTACTACTTAATTCAAATTAAAATGGCAATTTCAGGCCGGAGCATTGAGTAATAAAAGAGAGTTTAGACGTTATCTCCTTACCGAGGACAGTGACTTTGACTGTAGCACTGTCTCCTGGGCCGACTTCATTAACAGGGATACAGGTGTACATTCCAGCTTTCTTCACAGTAACGCTAAACATCCCAGAGCTGCTGGTGGCGATTAAGGCACTATCGAATACCAACTGAAACACACTAACTGTAGGGTTTGCATCTGAGGTGCAGTTTAGGAACAAACTGCCTCCAGCTAACACGACAGTATCCTTTAGGTCAGGTGTCATTCTTGTCCCAGATGGCAAGTCTGCAACACAAACAGAGTTCGTTGTTCTCGCGGTCGCGCATCAGGGCCTGATTGGGGAACGACTGTATCAAAAATTCCATTCGTATGTCATGCCACTCCCACGAAAGAAACAATTTCTTACAGTAGAGTTTTAAACTCTATAGTCATCATAACATTTACTCTTGGCATGCGCCTCAGCTGATACGTACACTAAAAACGTAACAGTTAATTGACTCACAAAACACATCCAGTTGACATGTAATGACCGAACTATTGCTAATTCCAGTCCATGCAGAGCACTGATATGTCCCCGCTTGGCTGCGATGAACATCCAACAGAGTAAGATGTTGTTCATTGGTGCCAAGAACATCTCCTGTGTCTTTCCGTATCCAGTTAATATTTGGGGGAGGATTTCCAGTTGCATTGCAGTGAAGAGTCGCGTTATGTCCCTCAATGACTGATGCTGGACACTCTAAGTTTAGAACCAGAGGTTCGTCTATACGAAAAAAAGGAAAATTAAGTGTTATAATACTTGATATTGATGAATTTCTCGGCGACTCGATCACTTTACTGTCAAGGTCAGCCCCTATCGGTAGAAATTGCTTCAGTGGAAATATCCCACGCGCTATGGCATTTGAGAATCTAAAGGTCTTAAAGGTGTACTTCAACGGCTGATCCAGAGGGATGTCTGAGAGGTGCGGAGACCCCTTCCCATTATCAGACTAGTGAGTTTTCCCACCAAAGTTTTGCATTGAAGGGATGAAATATTACTCCTCATCTGGTATAATTTCTTTTAATGGTCTACAGTTACCTCCTCTTATGAGTACAATTCATTGACACGGTAAGGTATTAACTTGATAATGGGGTGTGCTGTGTGACCGTGGGGTGGAGGAGGGTTCGGCGAGCCTGGGTCGGTTGAAAAGTTGTTTGCCACGAAAAAAATTTCTTTGAACCCTCATTTTCAGTAATTCCTGGATTCACCCTTTGTACAGTTGATTCTGATTTTGAAATAAGTTATTGATTTGACAATAATTTGTATGAATTAGAAAGGCATCATTTGTGTAGTGAAACAGTAAAGGCCGGTTATTGAAACGAGATCCAACCCAAATTGCGGTTTTACGCAAGCAGTGAACCTCGGTGATTCTCCAGAGCGGGGTTGATTTCAGAGAAATAAATGTCCTTCCACTACAAAGTCTCGGCCTCTTGACACTGTTCACAAACAATTGATCCTTAGATAAAAGGTTCGGCTAAATTGAAGATGGCCTAGAACGTAGTTTTGTTAAACAAAGGCTAAAATTTGTTTAAATAACCGGCCCTAAGGGTTTGGTTTACACGATTTTAACTTACCAGGTACGTCCAGGCGACATGTTCTGGTGGAACTTTTACCAATTCCATTCCACGCCAGGCATTTATAATTGCCTGTTTGGCTACGGTTAAAAGCTGAAAAAGTGAGCTCCTCACTGCTACTAAGAACTTCTCCTGTTTCTTCCCATATCCAAGTAATATTCGGAGAAGGATTACCAGTAGCATTACAATAAAGAGTCAAGTTACTTCCCTGAACTAGAGAGCTTGGACATTGTATGTTTAAAATCTGGGGTCCCGCTAAAGAGAAAAGAAAAAGATCAGTTAAAAAATTAATTTAAAATAATTTCCGTATTATATTAACGGCCTCATGTTCAAGACTTATCGACTTGCGAAAAGAAAGATGTCAGTATGTCGAGTGAAATTGCGCGAGAAAAATACTGTGGTATAGAATAGTTTCCCTTCTTATCTAAAATAATAATGCAAGTAACTGTCTTTGTTCAAAAGGGATCTTATGCCTGGTAAGTGTGCTCATGATTGAACGAGTGAGGACACGTGGTAAAATAGGAGGAATTCAGACTTAAAAATAATATTCGTGATCCGAGTGGTATGGCCAATTTAGCTGCCGGGATTTCTTGGACAGTGGAAATACGACTTGCTGTTTTTTCCAAGAGGGCTCAATAACTAATCAATGCTTGAGGGCGTAATGCGTCTCCTTTCGGCAATTCTTGCATCTGTTACCAAATTGTATCAGTTACGAAATCAAGAGATCCTCGTAGCTAAGAACACCACTGAACTGGTAGTTGAAAATAGGACCTGAAAAAAATTCAGGCCCGTACGGGATTTGAACCCATGACCTCTGCGATACAGGTGCAGCGCTCTACCAACTGAGCTAACAAGCCAACTGGGAGCTGATCAATGTGTTGGGTCCAAATAAACCATCCAAGTGATGAATGATGATTTTAGATATATGAAATTCATATATTTGCACTGCGGTTAAGAAACGAAATTAAGAGATCCTCGCAGGCAATCTCCAGGCTCCCCTTCATTGAAGGAATGTACCTTCTTGGTAACGTCAACGCTAAATAGGGAGCCGACAGCGAAGCTTGGAAGGTATGGTTAGATAAAGTAAGCCGCAGCAAAAAGGAACGCCATAAGGATGTATGAAGATATCAAAACTGCGACTGGCCCCTAGGCCACCGAGATCACCCTATCACCGATCAAGTCATGAGAGTAACTATAACGCGTGGTGGAGCACCGCCTGTAAGCCGTATGCAGCTCAAAACGTAGTTACTGATGCTGCCCAGTCTAGTGGAAACTAAATAACCTGCCTCCAATGGAAGAGCTCGTTAGGACTCAAGGGCATACAGGAAGTTTTGCAGAACTATTTCCCTGTATATACCTTTGGGCCGGTTTGTGGTGAGCTTGAAGCCTTTCCTATCCCCTACTGATTCTTGTCATCACCCAGATAAGAAGTGGGCCTTGGCAATGTTCCTATATCTCTTGATCTGGGTTTCACTCTTCTCGTGTCTTTATTTCGTAGGCTAAATGACGTAGCAGGTAACAGTGACTGTTGCAGCTGGACTTCGCGCTCCCAAGCTGGGTTCCCATACTGGATATTCAGGTTTCAGAAGTGCACAGAGGCGGTCTTTTCAAAATTAACCACGAGGCCACCGAGTTGCAACTTTCAAGATTGTCAGTTGTTACTCAGGGTTTTGGATTACCATTGCGTTTTACCAGTTTTGATTCAGAAAACGCTGAGACGTTTCATAGAGTTTTTTTTGACGTCATCTTAAAGGGATGGCCGATTAAAGATTTGCTTTTATAAAATCTTTGGATGGTTTATCGCCGCTCAAATAACGATAATCTATTTAAATGAGAGACGCTGGAAACCGAGTTATTTCAGATCGTTTGCGCTAATTCGTCATACACTCTTACTTTAAATCTAAGCTCACAAAAAAAATTTTTGTGATAATCCGGACCCAAACTCGAACCATAGAATCAGAGACTTGGAAATCTTAAAAAAGAAGTATGACTGATGCACGAAATATTCAAACAAAATTATGTACTCACGGGGAACAAAAATCGGGAGCAACAAAGCTGTAACGTCACCGTAAACTTTAAACAACGTACTGATGTGAGGGTGGCAAGAAATCACTTCGATTTTGTATTTCAGCTTTGTCAGAGAAAGACTGAGTATGTGATAGTTTGACCACTGCCTTATTCTTTATCGCCGTACATTCTTCGTGTTACTCCTACTTTGTCCCATGAAAATAAAGGTAGCCATTTGAGGCTCAAATTTTGGAATTCGTGTACCTTCCAGTGGACTTAGTACCTTCATAACATATGCACGAGCTGCGAACCTGACTGTTTACGGGCATTCACCTAGCCATTCACTTTGTAACTTACTCCACTACCTACCTACCAAACTATCAACCCAAGACGCAACTTTCAAAATTGTGAAAAATATGCGACTTGTACTCGCCTGAAGCGAGATAAATCTATTTCATAGAAAAGGCAAAGAAAAAGACACTTCTTACAAGTTAATTTGTAAATTTGAAATGAAGCTCTTCAGGTGTTTAAAATTGTGTAGTGTTTTTTTTTTTTAATTTTCAATGTTGATGGGTTTTTTACTATGGCTTAGCTATCTTCAAAGAACAACGAAAAGTTCATAACGAGGATATTTTTTTAACAGTCACCCATTCAAGTACGGGGTTGCGATTGGCTTCATAGATTGGCTTTTGGCCAAACTTCATAACCTTTCAAGGAAATGATCAAATGATTTGTTTGAACTCTTCCCGTAAGTCCAAGCGTAAGTCTGTGACAAGGAGAAGAAAGAGTTAAAGATATAAGGTGTGTATCATTGACCTATCTTTCTCATTGTATTTTTGGAAACAGGCATTGGTAGGGAACATTTACTGAAAGTGTAAAAAAAAAAAAATCATGGGATGACTTTTTTTTCTAAGGAATCACCTTAGGCAGACAATATATGGATACGATAAACTCGAGAGATCATATAATGACAGTTAACTCGACGAGTAGAATGTCAACTTAAATGAGGAGGAACTCCCTCTTTGGTGCTTTTCTACGAGTAATTAACTGATCAGATTATTATGATGGTATGCAAGCGAAAGAAGAACTGGACAGTAAAAAGGGCCGTTACTTAAGACTTCTTTTAACGGATCTTACACCCCATTCACACAAAAGCTTAAACATGTTTTAAATCTGTTTCGTTAGAAACGGTTTAAATTTGTTTTCTACAAATAAACTGCGAAACCGATGTTTGACGACTTCAAATTTAGCACATTTAATGAACAAATCAGTGACTACTTGGTTCTGATTTTCATTCAGTTAATCCTGAAAGTTTAGTTAGATATGTTTTGTTGGTGTGAATTGGGTTAGCGTCGATTAGAAAATCGGAAACAGTAGGTAGAATCACTTTAAACAATGCACTTTGAATGTGTATCACCGCCTTACCTGTGGGTCGGCACACAACGCCAGCGTCATTATACCAATGATAATACCAATAATAATACCAATAGTAATAGTGGACTCCCCATCCGCTGTGATAACAGTCCAAGATCGAAATTTCATCTCCTTCACAGTGCACATAGTCAAGCCATATTTGGCCAGTTCCCCTTCCAAATGCTGCATAGCTAGGCGCTGATAAAGCTCCATCGTATCCAAGCTGACGACAAACTACATCAGCCTCCCGTAGGCCCCATGAATGATCAAAAATGGTTCCCCAGGTACCCATGTGCAGCACTTCAACACGACCAGAGGACGGGGAATTGTCGGGACTCACCAAACGAATATCTGTAACCGTAAATGTAGACGTTAACTAGATATCGTGGAAATGGTAAACTCGGATTTTTTAATTTGTATATAAAATTGGAATTGTCTCACGAATCATATTGAAGAAATGTAGAAATGTTTCCTACGCTTATCGAGTGTTCTCCCAACCTCCCGCGTGTTTACATCAGGCTATGTAAACACGAAAACCACTTTACATTTCTTTTATAAAATAACTAATGAAAGAGGAACCAAAACCGTGTTTACATACGCTAATGTAAAATGGTTTTATGGCCAATCAGAGCGCGCGTACTATTTGAATTATTTTATAAATTTGATTAAACTATAAGGACCCATCTTAGGATGCAATCTTAGAGACGGAAATCTAATTGTCTCATTTTCCTGACTGGAATATAAGCAAAATTGAAACCCGAAACTAAGTATTTAACCTACGATTCCACTAAACTTAAACACAACTCGTTTACGAAATCGTCCTTTTAAAAACAGATACCTCCAAGATCAAATCATGCCAACACCCAAGTAGGTTATTTTTTTGGTCCAAAAATAGTCCTCTCCTCGCTTAAGTCCCACACCCACGCATTTACCATTTGAACTAAACTCAGCGGTCGCATCCAAAAAGGTTAATGCATTCGGCCTGTACAATGTTGAGAGATTTTAGGAATTTTAGATAATTTTCGCTTTCATTTTAAATTGAATTGTACCTTAGACGTAAGCTATTTTTTTAAAGTTTCTTTCAAATGGCTGTCATATGAATTTAAGTTTGTTTCTTAATTAAAGTGAAGCCTGTGCGGAATGGCCCTGTATATACATGTAACCAATTAATCAGACGGACACAAAGTAGAGAACGAACTTAATATATTCTAGAAATAGTGTGAATGTATTATTACACATTTTATGATTAATCAAGGTTTCCATTCCAATATCAAAAGTAGCGCACTCGATCTTCGTTAATCACTTCCTCGAACAAACTCAATCGAAGAGGGTTTAGGTAGGGGGGGAGTAAGACGCCGATAGGTCGTCAAACGACCATACAGCTCTATATGTCGCGGTATCTGTTTTTTGCCTTTTCTTTGCCTGAGATATTGGTATTCAATAGGTAAAGCTTAATCTGCGCCTTTTTTTGCAGTTGATTGTTGTTTTATTATGTCAATTTCTTTTTATTACACAGCTCTCTTGATGGAATTTTAAATTTCCCCTACTCTCTGTATATAATCTCGCTGTTTTTTTCTGCTGACATCAGGAACGTAGCGCAAAGCACTGAAATAGCTTCCTACAAGGACACGGTGATTATAATGTCTACTACATTCCACAATAAATGCATAAATGTTAGTTGACGATTCTAACAGCTTGGATCGACCGAAAAACGACTGCTATAACCATGTCAGCGATTTCAGCCGGAGAGCCTCCTCTTATTCTTTGGCTCATCAATACTAGAAAATTGGAGAATCTGTACCTCGAAACCTATAACTGAGGGTCCAAAATAGACTTTTCCAATCCCGCAACCCGCCGCTATTTTTCATCCCATTCCGTCATTCCGCTGCAATGAACATTTCCATCCCGATCCCGCCTTGTTAAACCCAAGTTGCTCAAGTTCACTGCCTTATTTAAACTGATAGAAAAATTACAGCTTTTGCAATATTGGTAATGTACTCTTCCTATCATGGAAAAAGTCAAAGACATGCTTAAGCATATTAAGCCGGCTTAAAAGAATTTCACCCACAGCAGGACTAACAGAAAAGCTATCAAATTCTTTAGCCTATCGCACAACAATAAAGATCATATCTCAGTTACAACAAACTTCGTGAACTTCAGAGGGAAAAGAGCTTCCGAAAGAAGTGATATTCGTTTCAATGCATATTACGAGCTTATACTCAAACATACCGCAAGTTGAGGGCATAAACAAAGTATGCACCGAGTACGAGAATTTTTAGAGAGATGCCTCCCTCATTCCAAAGCCCTTGCTAGAGAAAGCACTTGGACGAAACTCATTCAAAGTCAAGAACAAAAGTACTTGCAAACGAACAGAACCGCCATGGTCGCCAAAAAGGGAGCAGCTTATTCAAACACCTTCATGTCTACAATTGAAACTCAAATCTTCAATAAAAGTGCTAACAAATTGCTCGTTTACTAAGAAAATAAATACTTTCTCATGTCTCTGAGGTCGGGTGAGGCGTAACTTGAGCTAAATTATGATCCCGCCTATACTCCTCCTATCCCCTTTACCGCCTTCGAAACGGAGCATATCACGGTCCCGCCTTCCTATTTCATCCTGCATCCCTCTTTTCAAATTTCTCATATCCCACATCCCGCCTCGATTTTAAGACTCATCGCGCATCCTACTAACCCATGTTGCACCCTCTTAACTGTTGACATAAGTCGCAACATGCATTATGCCTTCCACAGCAGCTTCTTGTGAGGAATTCGTTGTCGGTGGAAGAAAGGAATCTTGTATCGGTGTAACATGTTAGGGTTCATGCAGGCCAGGGATGCTTGCTGTGATTTTTTCCCTTCTTAAAATGTCTCGAGCGTTTTCACAGTCATGGATATGGGTGCTTTGTGAATAAAAGTTGGCAATGAAGTTGATTCCCTCCTCTGGGCATGAAGGAATTTCATATTGAGAGCAGGAAACAGTAACCCATTTCTGTTCAGGGAAGGCAGAATTTGAATGTACCGTTCACAAACGATTAGCTTAGCACAAGGAGACACAAGCTGAACTTAGGACGGTTAAAACGTGCAACGTTACTACGAAAGCTATGTGGCTCTCTATATAAGACAGTACCGATTTCTACTGTTCATTGTTAGGTTCTTTCGTTGTTTAGGAGTAAAGCCAGCAGATAGGACTTTGAAAGGTGTAAAACCAGTGACTTACTTAAGTGAGAGCAGCAAGGAGCCATGGAAAATTGCCAGATTTTTTTTAAAAGCATTCACTAGTCTTGTCATATTTTCTTTGTTTGACTGTCATTGGAAAATTTTTGTGATCCTGTAATGCAATAACGCTAGAAACCCATTTTATAAGGTAAAATGTTTTATCAAGGTCATGGGGCATATTAACTGGAAACAAACACTTGTTTCTCGTAGCATACTCATCAAGCCCCCACCAAGCCCCCAAGGTAGCAGATGAGAGCGCACGTGATTCGCCTCATCTAGCCTGCGCGTGCGGTCAACCACCTAGTGAAAAGGGCCAATTCATACGTCAAGACTGATACTGAACCCAAGGCGCAAAACAAAACCTGTATCCTTATCCTCAGTGAATAGATAAATATTGATATATTGAACGCAAGATGTGGCGTTACCTGCAGGTTGGCATACTACGCCAGCGTCTTTGCCATGCCCACAGTTGTGAACACCCCATCCTCCATGACTGCACTGCGCTATCAAGGTCTCATTTCGTATACAATTGACGTCATCCAGCCATATCTGACCAATACCTTGTCGAAATGCTGCATCACCGGGTGCTGATAAAGCTCCATCGTATCCAAGCTGGCGACAGACTGTATTAGCATCTTTTATGTCCCATGAATTGTCACAAATGGTTCCCCATGTACCATTGTGAAACACTTCAACACGACCAGAAGACGGCGAATTGCTGGGACTCACCAAACGAACTATGATCAGAGCGAAAAAACAAAGTGCCTCACCTCACATGCTGTATTTTATTTCAATGCTTTGATGGTTCACCATTAATGTTTGTTGTAGTTTAAAGTTACATACATGTTTCTATTTTTTTGAAAGAAGTATTAAAATATGGAGCTGGTAAACTCGGGAAGATATTTAAATCAAATGAAAGAGAACTTCTCAAAATGCCTTTTCTAAAATTTGATTTGAAAGCAGTAAAAGGATCCTTGATAGTACCCGTTACGCATCGATTCGAAGGGGCATACGAAAAAAAGAATGGAAGAAAATTTTTTTGATTCTTTACTTAGGTGTTTTATCCTCTTACTTGTGGGTCGGCACACTACGCCTGCGTCAAAATAATCCCGACAGTGACCTTCCCATCCCAGGTGCCTGCATTCCAATATCGATGTCTCATTTCCCTCACAATTTACTCCATTTAGCCGTATCTGACCAGTGTTTTGTCCAAATGCAGGGTAACGAAATGCTGATGCTGATAAAGCTCCCTCGTATCCAAGCTGGCGACAAACTACATCAGCGTCACGCAAGTCCCAATAGTCGGCACAAATGGTTCCCCACACACCTTTGTACAGCACTTCAACACGACCAAAACGTGATGAATTGAAGGAATTCACAATACGGATAGCTGTTTTTACAGAAATATGAGTTAATCGGTTACCTAAGAACCAATAATCTTGATAAATGTTGTAATCCTACAGATTGGATCGATTCTCGTAGCGAATCTTTAAAAAAAATTAAGCTTCGATTCTTTATGGAGGCTCTTTGTTCTACGCTTTTGACAAGACAAAAACCATCTTTCGCTTGAAATCAAGTTATTGAGACCCATTAAACAAGTGCCTTCCTTCGAAACGATACAAAAAGCCTTCTGATTGACAGAACAGAATCAAGATTTTTATTCATTTTGAACGGAACACCGAATAAGTTTTAATTAAGGTTTAACTAATTTTTAACCTCAATTTGAGATTTACTAGTCCATCATAGGAAGTTAAGTCGTTTGCATAATAGAGACACACTTTTCTTTCACTCTGGCATTATTAATTACATTAATGCCGACTTCCTTAACTTCAATGATTATCACCAAGAAGTTAGAGTAAGACTAAAACTGAGTTGTAACCGCGAATTTTGAAGAGCTGGTGTCTCCAGTGTTAACTCGTTAGTCACCCAAAGGGTACAGTTATTGATATGATAACAGTATGTGCACAGGTTTTCACCATACCTGCGGGTCGACACACCACACCAGCGTCTTCATGATGCCCACAGTTGTGAACTCCCCATCCTCCGTGACTGCACTGAGCTATCATTGTCTCATTTCCTACACATTTAATGTCATCCAGCCATATCCGACCAGTTCCTTGTCCAAATACTGCATCACCAGGTGCTGATAAAGCTCCATCGTATCCAAGCTCATTACAAACAATATTAGCGTCCTGTAAATTCCACGAATTGTCACAAATGGTTCCCCATGTATCATTGTACAGCACTTCAACACGACCAGAAGACAGTGAATTGCTGGGACTCACCAAACGAACTATGATCAGAGCGAAAAACAATGTAGCTTACTTCACATGCTGCATTTTATTTCAATACTTTGATGGTTCACCATTAATGTTTGTTATAGTTCATAGTTATACATATTTCTCCTTTTTTTCTAGTAGTTTTGAAATATGGAGCTGGTAGACTCGAAAAGACATTTAAATCGAATGAAAGAGAACTTCTCAAAATGCCTTTACTAAAATTTGATTAGAAAGTAGTAACCGGATCCTTGATAGTACCCGTTACGCAGGTTAGCCTTGGTTGACTACAATGTAATTCGATGAATAACCATCGATTCGAAGGAGCAAACGAAAAAAGAAAGGAAGAAAATTTTTTTCATCGCCTTACTTGTGGGTCGGCATATTACGCCTGTTTCAAAATAATACCGACAGACGAGAGCTCCCCATCCTAGGTGTTTGCATTCTGATATCGATGTCTCATTACCCTCACAATTTACTCCATTTAACCATATCTGTCGAGTGTTTTGTCCAGATGTTGGGTAACGAAATATTGGTGCTGATAAAGCTCCCTCGTATCCAAGCTGGCGACATACTACATCAGCGTCACGCAAGTCCCAAGAGTCGCCACAAATGGTTCCCCACACACTTTTGTACAGCACTTCAACACGACCATAACGTGACGAATTGAAGGAATTCACAATACGGATAGCTGTTATTACAGAAATATTAGTTAATCAGTTACCGAGGAACCAATAATCTTGATAAATATTGTAATCTACAGATTGTATCGATTCTCGCAGCGAATCGTTTAAAAAAACATAAAGCTTTGATTCTTTATAGAGACTCTTTGTTCTACGCTTTTGACAAGACAAAAACCATCTTACGCTTAAAATCAAGTTATTGAGACCCATTAAACAAGTGTCTTCCTTCGAAACGATACAAAAAGCCTTCTGATTGACTGAACAGAATTTTATTCATTTTGAACGGAACACCGAATAGATTTTATCTAAGGTTTAACTAATTTTTAACCTCAATCTGCGATTTACTTGTCTATCATAGGAAATTAAGTCTATTGAATAATAGACACACTTTTTTTCACTCTGGCATTATTAATTACATTAATGCCAACTTCCTTAATTTCATTGATTATCACCAAGAAGTTAGAGTAAGACTAAAACTGAGTTGTAACCGCGAATTTTGTAGAGCTGGTGTCTCCAGTGTTAACTCGTTAGGCAATATGCTAATAGTATGTGCACAGGTTTTCACCATACCTGCGGGTCGACACACCACACCAGCGTCTTCATGATGCCCACAGTTGTGAACTCCCCATCCTCTGTGACTGCACTGAGCTATCATTGTCTCATTTCCTACACATTTAACGTCATTCAGCCATATCTGACCGGTTCCTTGTCCAAACGCTGCATCACCAGGTGCTGATAAAGCTCCATCGTATCCAAGATCATGACAAACAACATTAGCGTCCTGTAAATCCCACGAATTGTCACAAATAGTACCCCACGTACCATTGTAAAACACTTCAACACGACCAGAAGACGGTGAATTGCTGGGGCTCACCAAGCGAACTGTTGTCAATATGAGAACATAACTGTACGTTAGCAAGCTTTACGTGGCAAAGGTTCGTCTAATTAAATGTCTTTATGGCTAAAAAAAAAAGATATCACAGTGAAATTCATTGCATTCGATCAGTATTCGTATTTGTGGTTACTGTTAAACGTTACCTCACTGAAATAATCCTCCTACTTACTTACTCACCAGATCGATCGATAATAATAATAATAATAATAATAGTAATAATAATTATAATAAACTAGAAACTTATATAGCGCATGCAATATGACGTAATTATCGCAAACGCTGAATAAAAAGTATAAAAAATATGATAAATAGAGAATAATACATGGGCGCGCGTAGATATGGAATTTCTCTTCGAGTGTTTAACTCGATAGCTCACGAGTGAACGCAGCGAACGAGTGAGATGTCGAGTTGAACACGAGAAGAGAAATTCCATATCTACAAGCAACCACGTATTATTTTGTTTATCATATAAACACGATAGCCCTCTACTGGGAAAAAAAGCCGCCTTCATTAATTAATGAAAATAATCATCGAATAACAATCGTAGAGTGCGTTGGCGCTGACTCTTAAGATGGAAAAATGTGTTGAATCATGATTACAAAAACTACAATAGTCGTAATTTTCAATTTACAAAATTTCATTTATTGACTTTGTCCTACCGACAGAAGAAGTCTTTCAGGTAAAAGGCCAAAATCGCCCAGTGGCAAATCTTCCACTTTTCGATTTTCATTCTCAGCCGAGAGAAATGCTAACACCAATGCCACTGAATACGCAACTTTCGGTTTTTCTGTTAGTGTATTGGTTTCTTTCCCCTTCTGGAAAAGTTTGAACCTCATTGTCTGTCAGCGATACGGAACTTTTTTAGTGTTTTAGCCACCATAATTCGAGAAAGCTCCGACAAACAACTTGTATTGAGAATCGTGAAGGCTCTGCCGTTCATTCATCAACCTGACCGAGTGGCGCCAAAGGCGAGTGACGTGAAAGCAGCTGATTGGCCATATCAAAACACGAAAAAATACGATATTTTTTCACGTGTGTTGTTACGGCTTTTCTCAGGGCCGGAAATCCTTGTATAACACCGCAGTTTATGTGATAAATGGAATTTAATAAATAGCTCGATGGAACAAATATGAAAATAGGTACTGGACAAATGCCCAACTAGAGAGATTACAGAAGCTTTTTGGTTACCGTTGAATGACTACAATTCAAGCCTCTGGGAGAAAACGGAGAACTGGTGGGGCTCACCAAGTTCGTAAACGAACTTTTTTTAGCGTAGCAGTTGTAGTTAACCAGTTAATATACCGGTAGAGCTCGTAAATTTAACAGATGACAGATTAAAATTAGGAAATTGCACTTTGTAAGGGTTTTTGAAAAAGACTGATGATATTGCCATGAATCACGATATTTATCAAAATAAAAGGAACCCCCATTTAACACTTTTCAAGTGTAAGCATCACTGTACTTAACCAGATTGTCGATTGGAAAATAAAAAAAAATATGAACTTCTGTTAGTGTTGCCGCAAATGGTGTTATCAACATCACGAATAAGGAAAAAAAAGTCAAAATGTGAACAAGAAAAGATATCTGCAATTTGAGAAGTTAAGTGTGCATCCTCAAGCGGACATGTAATGTTCTGTCTATTGTATACAAACTAATTATCTATTTAAATCAAAAACAATTTTATAACACATTTCAAGAGCACCGAATGGAATGATCTCCTCCACGTGAACTAAATTCGCACAAAATCAACTTCAACTTCCGACAAAAAGATAGTGGGAGAGGTTATTATAAGAAAAAATGTTTTCCTTTCAAAAACAGATGTTGAATCATTGAACCTGAGCAATGTTTCTAAAAGGTAAGTATCCTAAAGCTGTATCTGTGGGATAGTACAATAATAAGCGCATTAAGTTAAAATTGGACGAATAGACTGCCTTGGGTCTTAAGTGAACAAAACTAAATAGTCAATCTGTACTATTTAATAACTCTGCATGTTTGCTACATGGAATTTTTAGCAACATTCAAGTTAGCTCGCTTAATCAATCCTGTTGCGGTCATTAATTGAGCGGCAATGATGCGTGGAAAAATCTGTAGTGACTTTCCTTAGAGCATTTCGGTAACTCTTTTCTAAGATCGGGTTGTCACCGTGATTGTATTATAGAACTACCTGACAAAGCCAAACCTCTCACATAGGTTGCTAAAAAGAATTGTCACATTATTCCAGAGAATTTCACCTCCCCAGTTCTTCTAACATCAGTAGTGGAAGCTATGATAATACTCGTACCCTATTTATCCAATTGCTAAGATGCCACTGCTTTCATTTGTAGCATGGTTAGCATGGTTGAGAACATTTGTTTAGCTTGTCCATAATATCTGAAGCTCAATTTTAAAATATATTTAACTAAACTTGTATTCAATCTGTTTTATGGTGTAGCACATGTTGTGAACACTATGTGAACTACAAAAGAAAAATAAGAAATAGTTATATTTTTTCTCAAAATCATGATATAATTGCATATAATTAGGAACATTTAAGAAAAATAACAGAATTTTTTTAGTATCAATAATTCTAACACTCAAAATACAATAATGATATCAATTGCTAAATCATAAACGACCATAAACCAGCTATCCTTTCAAATTATACACTAAGCAAACCTAAAACAAGAAGTCATTTTTGAGAAATCTTCTATAAAAACAATTCTCGTATTATGTTTATAAATGCTCCTTTTTCACATTTGTTAACACATTTTAATTTTATTTTAAGGGATAACATCAATCAAAACATTGTAAGTTCTCGCAGTATCACACCAACGAGATTGTTATCAGGAAATTGAGATTCAACAGCTTCGTCATTCAAACTTATAGATACCTGGTCAATGCATGTTTCTAGAAGCAGCCTCAGAAATCAATTGGCCATGATTCCATTTTTGGATGAATACTTATTATAAAGGGTCAGGGTTACGGTTTTCTAACATTTGACCTATGAATAATATGAATCTTAGCAAATCAGGCAAACACCGTGAGGAGTACCCGCATAGAGCGAAGATGCTAATATGAAAAACTCATCGTAAACACTCATCTCTTTCCTGCGATTACAAACTCTTTCAAATGACCGATTGCTATACTTCTGTATTTTACTTCGAAAACATATCAAAGTATATACAATGTAAAACATATCGAATCGATAACCCTTGAAAATGGCCGAGCGCTTGACTCCTGGATGCACTGTAAAAACATGGGAGAAAGGGGACTCTTTCTTGGTACTTCTATTACTCGACTTATCTTCTCTCCTCGCCAGATCAGCTTTGACTTTCTGCGTATCCAGTCAACGTTTAAAATATTTGTTTTCAGTAGAATTGCCTCTGTTCAAGGATATTAGTCAACCACGCCTCTGCATTTGTTTACATACGGGGAAAATTGTTGATAGTACTCTCAACGCCTAGCAGGAGTCGTACAAGCCCGTCAACACTATTTACCAGGTGGGAAAAAAGGATTCGTTTATCACGAGAGGAAAATTCATTCAAACTGAGACAGCGTGAAAATTATGCCCATTATTCCTGTAAAAGTATAAATTTTCTGAAAGCTTAATGATCACTTATTTCGGATTTTTAATTTAATTTAATTTCTTTTTGCCATTGAACAGTATGGGAGCTTAATCTTTCACTCCGAAACGTTTTACAACATAGAGCTTTTAACGACGCATTTTAATTAACATGTTTCTTTTTTTACCGGAACGTGATCTGCTCATATTGAATCTTAAAAGCGTGTCTGTGATTAGTTTCAAAGTAGCGCTTTTGAGCAAAGTTTTCAATGAAGACGTTACATCTCGAGAAATAAGGAACAAATCGAAAATCCGGGATTATCCTCTGAGGTACATTACATTTCCGTGGTGTTCCAAATTTTACGAAAATTGATCCATTAGCAAACTCTTCAAAGGCCAGAATTCAAACCAAAACGCTTTGTAACAAAAAAAGGTAGTTTTTTTCGCCAATATTTGCCTATCGGCGCTAAAGTGTGCTAGAAAGCAAAGAGCAGACACTTTATGTAATGAGTTACATGTAGGTCAAGTAGAATAAGTGTAACTCGTGTGAATATGCAACTTTATGTGTCGATTTGGAAGGCACTCTAAGCAGTAAAAAGAAGAGGAAAGAGGTCAGGCAGAGAAAGGAGTTCTACAATAAAAACACAACACACCTTTTTAACTGATTGATTCTCGAAGTGCAATGCGACGCGAAATTATGGACTTTCGGCGATATTTTTCGCAAACTAGCGCCTATAGGAACTTCGATGGGAATAGACTCTGGCCACTGAATCTCTTATGTCCAGTAGAAACCTCTACCACGATCAGTGAACAATATTTCCGCTACGATGCAAACTGCAAAGAAATTTTCCTATTTTCGGAACGCCAAAAGGGAGTTATCGCTTTTGGACAGAATAACAGCTTGAAAAAAAATTCAATTACAAAAAAAATCTCTCAAGCTTTCGGAAAGAACTCAAGCAAGTAGACTTGATAACAAAGGAGCGATTTTAGAACTGTACAAAACTTTTCAGTGCGTCATTGTAAATCAATAGTGGTTTTAGAATCGTTAATTACGTGATGAGAAGAAGTTGACATGAAGTGTTATCAATCTCGCGCCTTTCATTCTGCTCTCAAACACTTTTTCCTTTATATCTCCCGAAGTAAAAGAGATTCCAAAATAAAATGTTAAGAGTTTGATAAATCTTAATTTTTTTAAATTACATATTAAATTTTCAGGAATTTTATATTATGCCTTCTGTGAAACCTTAAAGCAGAAGCGTTACGAATCCTAAAAACATATCCGAAGCGCTCCACGTTTCAAGAACCTACAAACTTTAAAAATAGACTTAAAGAAGGGAATAGAAGATACTCGACGAAGTTCTGGAGAAATATATGTTTGGAATTATCTTGTACGGTAGAGATGGTTCACTTTGAAACAAAGAATAGTGCGCAGAAAATATTGTCAGTGAACCTCAAGAACTTACTGATAGGGAAACGGCACATAGAAATTTCCGACGCGCTCCACGTTTAATAAGAACCTAAAAAGTTTAAAATTACGCTTAAAGTAAGGAAATAAAAGATACCCGACGACGTTCTGGAAAAATATATCTGGAATTAGGGGAGTAGGTTTCTAAAGACACTGTGGTAACTTCATTTAAACTTGCACCAAATTAAGGTTCAAAAACTCGACCAACTTATCGGTCCTCATATTACTAGCGATTCATCACCTCAAAGCATCAGAACTGTAGTTACCATTCCAGAAAATTTACCACTTTCCAATTCAGAAAAATCAGTTCTCAGTAAAGGCTTTAATTTTGTTCCCATTTCCAAAAAAAAAGCCGAAGTATTTTTAGTTAAGCAAGACGTTGAAAAATTCTTTCGCCACGTTCAGTTGAAAACCTTTTTCCACGACAAAGAGGATGATTCTAACACCTCGAACAAAGATACTTTCGAAACACTTCATATTCAAAAGTCTAAATGGACTCCCCTAGAGGGCCAGTTAGCATCTTTAGCTTTTTTCATCGAAAAATGTCGCCACGATATCAACAAACTTAAATTCAATCGTAACAACAAATTTTCCATCTTTCTTCGGAAGAGTGGTCACTACTAAAGAGTTTGAAAAGACGCAAAAACATGGCTGACCTCTACCAAAAAGACGCTTTGGCACCTACATTTACGCAAAAGTTAACAAAGATCTCACTTTCATCAACCACAAAATTTTCAAAAATACGATTAACAATCTTAAAGCTTAACAAGAATTGCCGGCCTTTGCAAACAATCTCACCATCATCACTCCCAGAACTTCGTGTATTTACTTTTTAACCAAATCCACAAACCTAACAACCCAGGTGGACGCATCGTTTCTGTCTGCAGTTGTTCCACTGAACTTATTTCCAGCTATTTAGACAAAATTATGGCAGCTATCGTCAAAACTTTATCATCTTATATTGAAAACAGCCAACACGCACTTGCAAGTTGTCGTAACTTTAATTTCTTTGGCCAAAACAAACTTATTTTACTATGGATTTCATGTCTCTTTATACTGTCATTCCCAACGACGAAGGTTTCCGGGCCCTCAAACATTTTTCGATCAGCGCACTGTTAAGGAGCCTAGCTCTGAAACACTACTCCACCTAGCCTAACCGAACTAGTAGTTACACTCAATTGCTTTTCATTCGGTGGAAACTACTACAAACAAACTAATGGCGCAGCGATGGGTACTAAGATGGGACCCAGCTAAGCCAATCTTTTGGCAGGGTTTATCGAACACCAATTTTTTAGTCAATACCACGGCCCCAAACCTCAACCCTACGGCCGTTACATTGACGACTGCATCATAGATTCACATAGTTAACTGTATTCATCTTCGCATCCATCACACGTCAAGAATTCCATACCTTCAGTTTCACAGTTTCTTAGACCTCGTCATTTATGAAGTGACGACTCTGATTTTTCTGAAAAATCAGAGGCAATGTGCTAGTTTTTCGATAAACGTGGCTATCCTGTCTCTGTCTATCAAGAGGGCCACCACCGTGCCTAACAAATCGATCGATAGTCAGCATTACAGACGGCTGAGAAGGAAAATACTTATAACATTCCATTCACTCTCACATTTCACCCTCACAACCATGCAGTTAAATCTATCATTCTTAAAAACTTTAAATTACCCCGAAACGATTCAGAGACTGGCACTATCTTTTCGCAACCTCTAATGATTTCATTCAAACGTGACAAAAACTCAGGGAACTTTTTGGTCAGAAGTTCATTTCAAACCAATGACCAATCTGAAACTTTCAAATGCGCTCGCTCACGATGCAAAACTTGTCCTTTTATTCATAACGTAGAGAAAATGTCGGAACCCAAGAGATCCATTAAGATTACTGGTCACTTTACGTGCACCTCCGCCATTGTCGTTTACTGCATAACTTGCACTTATTACAAAAAGTTATTCATTGGTGAAACAGGAAGTCGACTAAGTGACCAATTCCAAGAACACCTTCGCGACGTAGAAAGAAATAACAAGGAAGTATCCAAACCAGTTGCTGGACACTTAAATCTCTCTAATCATTCTAAACAGCATATGGCAGTTTGCAGCCTTTTATTAAATCTAGGCCGTTCGGAAAGCCTCAAGAGCAAAAATTTATCTTATCTTTATCTATAATCAGGACTCTTAATCCCCAAGGTATCAACGAGCGCTTTCTATTCAACTAATTTATTCTTGTTTTTTCTTCCCTACATTCCCACCAATAGCGTAGCTCCATTTTCTGCATCTAAACCCACACACAACCCATCGTTCCTCCCATTATTCTGATGAAGGGCTAACGCTCGAAGCTTCAGCCTTTTAACTCTTTACTGTGGCCAACTTACTTTTTCGACTCTGTTGATAACACTAAATTACTGGAATTATCTGTTCCGGTAGATAAAAAGGTAGGTAAAAACGAAGAAAGTAGCACACAGAAAATTTTTTCAGTGAACATCAAGAATTTTTACTGAAAGGGAAATGGCACACCATTCAAAACCAACGTACTTAATCACATTTCAAAGGAAAATCATTAAGATGTATCCTTTTTAGAGGGAATCTCTGAAGACAGAAATTTAAAATCGCTTGCGAACGGCAGGAACCGTACAGGTCCGTCAATACTTATTGACTCGTCATTTGCTTCTTGTGACCCACACCTTCCGCGAAGCTTGCCGACACTTCGGGTGTTCTGATTGGTTCCTAGTTGCTCCGTTTTTTGCCATTCGAACTGTTTCCACGGAATCGACGAAAGCCATGTATTTTGTCGAGAAAGCCGGCAAATTCAAAATAAATAAGTTTATTCTTAGTGATATACAGATTAAGCAAGCCTAAAGTGAAGCTCTAGTTAGCCCTTCACTTTTTCAGAATTCCTCATTGGAATTTAATTTATTAATGGGAGTTTAGGGACCAGTCATTAATTGTATAGAGTTTGGCGGGAAGTCAAGCTCTTTTTGGCCTTTAGTGGATTTAAACTTCGTTCGTCAAAATACATAACAGCAACCCTAAATCTCGTTGTCCCTACGGATTAAAGGGTCTGAGGCAGGTCAAATTAAACACACGGATCAAAAGATGGGGAATTTAATCCCCCATAATTTATGGCCTTGTCAGGAGAATTATTCCTTTTCCAGATTCCCACCAGGTAAAACTCATATATTTTGTGAAAAATTGCATATATCGAGGAATGGATATCAGCATTTGTAAGAATAACACAATTGAACGCCTGAGCCTGAGTATTTAAACGCCACCCAAATATCATTACATTTAAGGTAACTTCAGCGAAATAGTATATTCGCACAATTCAATCAAAGAACGTCAGGCTACAGACTCGCCTGCTTATAAAAACGTAAACCTATGGTGTAGAAATGCACATGTTAAAAGTAGCACCCCGTAAGTATGGTCATAAGGTCAACAAATTTTATCAGCTTGATGGGTTACTACCACTTTGACAACTGATGGGGCCACGATGCGCACACTGTAAGATCCACTATAAGAAGCTTCTTATGGTCCTTCCTGCCACGACCAAGGAATACGACCTCGGTCCTCACGGTCGGTTAATAAGGAAGTTATTACACAATACAAAAAAAGGGTTAATTCGACAAATTCAATATAATGTTTATCAAATAGCTTTCTTAATGTAATTTTCGTCGCATTAACATTTTCACGTTGATTCAGTGCAAATATCGTTGCTTAAACCAAAATGAAGGGGCAATTAACAAAATGTGAGAAGGCCAAAAGGTTACTATTAATTTTTGATCAATGTACTATATAGTTTTATAGCTGTCTTACCTGTAGGTCGGCACACCACGCCAGCATTATAATAGTCCCAGCAACGATGGGTTCTCCATCTCAGAGGACATTGTGATACTAATGTCTCGTTTCCTGTACAATCCAGATATTTCAACCATGCCTGGCCAGTTCGTCGTCCAAATTCTGTATAACGCGATGATTGTAAGGCTCCATCGTATCCAAGCTGGCGACAAACTACGTTAGCGTTTCGTAAATCCCAGTGATGAGAGCCACAAACGGTTAGCCATGTATCATTGTGCAGCACCTCAACACGACCAGAACGTAAGAAATTGTAAGGGTTCACCAAACGAATAACTGTTAGAATGAAAATAGTGACAAACTATTAACGCAGAGCTAGCAAATGAAATTTTGTCTTCCTGGTAAGAAATTGGGACGATTGAAACAAAAAAAAAAATTTTCTTAGGGTGGAAGCGCGCCCCAAAAAACGTCCTATGTCATAACTGTTCTTTTCAACGTTCTCCCGGTAGGAATTTTAAAAAAGCACAAACTGCAAACTATAAAAATGTCCTAACCCAACTATGACTATGATACTATGATTCGTATTTACTGTGCAGTGCCCCGCGAAAATTCAACACAGAGAAAGGAGAAATATCGGAATTCAAGCCCTTCAATGCCTTAACTCCTAAATAGGTTGCGGTTGTTCACTATTGTCGCTTATTGCATGATGTGGTCACTTCGGATGTAGGGCAAGACGTTTGAGCAGCGCACTGCTAATTGTAATCGGGGATTGAAACCTGAGAATCTGCTTTGTTTTGAAATGGTTAAGCCATATCCAAAGGACTTGTTCATTTGCTGTCTATCACTTTTATTGCATTCGTAGAATTAAGAAATTATTTGAGGTGTCCTGCTGCTGAATCGTTTGTCGTTACAGCCAGTAGAGTGGATTTTTAGCTCTTATTAGCACCTATTTTTTTAAATTTGGCTTTTTAATAAAGTACCTTTCAGATAGTGTTGATCTCTTACTTTATTTTTGATTAGATTGTACATTCCGCCTTAATTCTACAAAATAACTATGTAGTCATCAGATGACGAGGAACGATAAGGAGAAATAAAAAAGATAAGTGATAAAAGCAATCAACGCAGAATTAGTCAATTTAGAATTGAGAGTGTTGGCAGGAAGGAAAATAGTAGGCAAAAGGTCAACCTTCTTCTCATATCAGATGGTGAAGTGAAGCACTGATGCCTGATAAGTGACATGGACAGATTACTGCCAAGTCAAACCTCCAAGGATAAGAAAGCGAAAGAACATTGCCTCAGGTGTCTGAACCACTTCTCCAGCAAAGAAAAGTTAACAGTTTAATTGATGATTAAATAAGGAGTTCGGGGAGGGATCTCAGTGATCTCAAACCACTATGAAAGGGCAAAAAACACATATACGGGTGATTTTTGATGATGCAAAGCCAACGAAATACATCTTCTATCTTTGTGCGAATAATTTATACGGATGGGCAATGTGTTACTCTCTTCCTTTTGGATATTTCAAGTGGATGATTGACCTTGAACTTGAAAATTGTAGAGATGTTGCTTGCATTCTTGAGTTGGACCTTGAATGTCCAAAAGAGCTTCATGACTTGCATAACGACTTTCTACTTGCTCATGATAGGCTTTTTATTAATAGGGTAGAGAAGCTGAATCAGGATCTCAACTACAAACAGAGGTATATCATTCACCATAAGAACTGCGAAGAATATCTTGATCGCGGTTTGAAGATAGAAAAGATTTACAGAGGAATAATCTTCAAAGAAGAGCCTTGGGTAGAAAGCCACACCGAGTTCAACACGAATGAAAAAAATGACTTCGAAAAGGATTTCTTCAAGCCTATGAATACCTCTGTCTTTGGAAAGACGATGGAAAACATCAGGAATCACGTGGATGGGATAAGTCAAAAACCGTATGAAGGCATTGAAACTTGAAGCAAAACAAAACTTCAAGCGATTGACCATATTCGATGAAAATGTCTTTGAAATCCATGTGAAGCGAACGAAGTTGGTATTCAATAAGCCTGTCTTTTGCGGAATGAGCATCCTCGATATTAGCGAAACGTTGATGTGCGACTTTCACCACAACTTGATCAAATCTAAATATGAAGATCGAGCAAAGCTGCTCTCCACAGATACTGACGGACTTGCTTAAGAGAAAGCGATGACTTCTTGAAAGACATCAACCGCGATGTGAAAGACAAGTTTGAAACAGGTAACTACCCTAAAGATCACCCTTCTGGTATTCTAACCGGATGCAACAAGAAGGTTGCGGGCATAATGAAAGATGAAACTGGTGGAAAGATCAGTGAAGATTTCTTTTGGTTGAGAGCAGAGATTTACAGTTCCAAGATGCTTGAGGGAAAAGAGGAGAAGAAGTGTAAAGGGGTAAAGAAGCATGTGATAAAGAAGAATATTTCCCACGAAGACAACGAAACTATGCAAATGAGAAAGTTGTATGTAGTCAGATCTTATAAGCATGAAATCGTCACTGAAACTATCAACAAGATAGCTTTGAGTACTAACAACGATAAGAGAATAATAGTAAAATATGAAATAAGCTCTTACTCTTGAGGACACTACCCAATGAAATCATAAAATATAATACAATTTGAATCCTAATGATATTCCATTCAATTCATTAACAGTCAGACCTAAAATTCAGGACATACGCGATACTTAGTAAACCTGTTGAGCAGCGCCTTCCGAGGAACGGTTGATTATTTCTTCATAATTTCCCAACATTTATCCACAACATTTCATATGATGGTTTTGCAGGAAGTTATAAGGACTTCTTTTTCTTGACTCCACTCCAAGACCAGATCGATGATTGTCTCAAGATCATCTAAGCATTCGAAGACTGATCTGCACTGATCAATCTCGATGACTGTGCTGCCATTCAGTGAGAACATAAAGACCATATTAGAGAGTTATGCGAGTGAGTTAAGGAATGATGAACAGAAGGAATTAAGAGCAAAGCTCGCTGGAGCGAAATATTTACCTATCATCTTTTCACTTGGTAACCCCTTCAATATTAATTTTGAAATTTAACATGTGACTTCTTTAGAAGGTGATACGGCCGAACAAGAAGACACATAAGATGTTACGAGTATTCTCGAGGCTGAAGCCACAAATGATTCGGATCATTAAGAGCAGCTTGCAATTCCCGTTGCAAGTGGCAAAGCGAGGGAGACAATTGATGTATCTCTCACTCGGGATCAAGTCAAGAAGCTTTCCGAAAAAGACGTTGAGAAGTACTTCAAAAGATATGAGACTTGATTGAAAATTCAACTCGTCCTATTATCACTGCGTCCAAATCACAATCAAATCAGGCACAGGTACATAGGACTGGCAACATAAAGAATATTCATTGTATTATTTGCAATAATGGCGGGCTATCGATGTTGTCTGATATTCTTGGCTTGGCTACTTATCACAATTGTCCTACACTCTCTAAAACCTAACCGTGGTTTCGATAAGACGTCCTGCAGTATCGCTGTGTCGACGGGTTTGGATATTAAGCAGTATCCAACGCGAAATTCTGGTCCGACTCGAAGGTTCCTACGTGAAGCACTTGTGCCGCCATCTTTGAAATGTATGGCCGCACTGGAATTGGCAAATATCACTGTCTGCGCAACTTACATGGTTCTGTTAGCAGGAGATATACAGGAGAATCCAGGGCCGGTGACGGATGCTTGTGCTGTTTGCACTAAAGGATGCCGAAAGAATCAGATGGCGATACAATGCGATTCATGCGACAAGTGGTTTCATGCGAAGTGTATCGGTATGAAGAGAACGGAATATGATAAACTTTGCGAACCTTCTCTTGTTTGGGAATGCATAACTTGTTTATCACCTGGCTTTCATACACCGGTCCGCAAGTCACATGAAACAACTAACACAGGAGTAAAAGAAGGAAAGCCCAGTGTAAGGATAAATAAAGATCTTCATGCAAATCTTAAGAAGAGAGGAATGAAATTTGCTCATGTAAATATTGCAACTTTGCCGGGACACTATGCCGACGCCGAAGTACTAATGGAGAAAGCAGCATTGGATGTGTTTGCGGTGACAGAATCGCGTCTGGATTGTACATTGCTTGATAGTAAGATATGTCCTTCGGGTTATACTTGCTACAGAATCGAAATGGAGGTGGTTGCGCCGTTTTTGTAAGGAGCAAATGGCCAAGCAAGCGGAGAAGTGACTTAGAATCTGACTGTTTAGAAATGGTATGCGTAGAAATATGTCCAGAAAAGGCTAAGAACACGATATTTGCTGTGATGTATAAACCACCAAGTATGAATCAAGAGAAATTTATCTTAGGCCTGGAACAGGAGTTTCTCTCTAAATTGGACGACGAAATGGTAAAGGATTTGATCATTATGGGAGATTTCACCTCGGATGTTATTGCCCTGAAACCATGCAAATATACCAAAAAATTAATGCAAACGACTCGTCTCCATGGTCTAAGTCAACTCGTCAAAGAGCCCACACGCGTGACGGAATTCACAAGTACGGCAAGTGATCTTGTGTTTGTTAAAAACACTCACCGTATTGTCTCGCATGGAGTCCAGGAATTCGGAGCAAGTGATCATTCTGTTACTTTCGTAGTAAAGAAAGCCGGAGTTTGCAAAACTCACGTGGAAATCCGCGACGTAAGATCTTTTAAACATTACAATAAAAACCATTTTCGGAGAGACATTGCTAGCGTTCCCTGGAGTGTTATAGAGTCTTTTGACGATATTAATGATGCTGTAGTCGCCTGGAATAATCTTTTTGTTGATGTTGCAAACCAGCATGCTCCTTTAAAGAGAATTAGAACAAAACATGCGTCTAAACCTTGGATCACTAATGATCTTAAAGAACTTATGCATTATGCATTAAGAGTTGCGAAGAGATCTGGCAATCAGGAACAGTGGAATGAGTATCTTAGATTGAAAAACTTTACGCACAGAAAGATAAAATCAGCGGAGGCATTGCACCACAAAAATCTAACTGAGTCAGCTGAGAATCCTAAGGACATGTGGCACTCGCTAAACTCCGTGATTGGTTCTAATAACCAGGGGGGCTCTCCTTTTCAGGTACATGACGGGAAACGTTTAGTATCGGAGCCAAAAAGCGTAGCAACAAAATTCAACAAGTTTTTTGCTGCCATTGGCAGCAAAGTTGCTGGTCGATTGCGCCCTGTGAGTAAGGACGCATGGAAGAAATATGAAACAGTGAAAGAAGCAAACAAGCAGAGTGATATCAAATCCACCTTGAACTTTCAACGGGTTGAACAGAACACTGTTCAAAGCATTTTGCATTCTTTGAAAGTTA